GGTCCAATAGGGCCCGGAGTCGCCGAACGATCGCTCCAAGACGCCCAAGATAGCCTCAAGACGGCCTGAGAGGCTCCCAAGACGGCCGAGGAGGCCTCCAGGAGGCCTCCGGGGAGCGTTCCAAAAAGGCCAGAATATTCGAAGTTCATGAGGTATTTGAAGGTGTTTCGTCTTCTCGCCGATTCGGCTTTCCGACGCGAGGGCCCCAAGACGGTCCCGAGAGGGGGCCCAGATGTGGGACGCGAACCTACATTTCGAGCCCTCGGCCCAGAGGGGCCCCCAGGAAGCCCCAAGAGGCCCTCAAGAAGCCCCCAAAAAAGGCCCCGAGAGGCCCCCAAGAGTCCCAAAAGGCCCCAAGAGGCCCCCAAAAGGACCCCAAGGGGCTCCCAAGAGGCCCCCAAACTGCCCCCAAGAGGCCCCCGAGAGCGCTCCGAAGAGACCCCAAGAAGCATCCCTGATGACTCTGACCCACAACCTAGGCACGATGGTGGGATGGGCCGAAGGCCACTAGATCTGCCGCCCCTGTTGATTCATCACAGGGGTGCCCGGCGTGCTACACCCTTTCGCTTTTGGTTTTGGTTCTTTTCCAAAAGAACTCCCCCTGGGGGTTCGGCCCGTCCCGCCAGAGATGCGTAACAGGTGGTTGCAAAGGGTTTTGCGGCTCCAGACGGCTCCAAGATGGCCTCCAAGATGGTCAAGATGGCCCAAGATGGCCTCCAAGTTCGTCCAAGATGGTCCAAGAGGGCCTCGAAGACGGCCCAAGAGAGTCCAAGATGCCTCCAAGTTCGCACAACAAACACCTAAGACGGCCCAAGACGGCGCAAGAGGCCTCTAAGAAGCCTCCAAGACGGCCCAAGAGGCCTCGAAGAGTTCCACCAGGACGTCCCGAAGAGGTCAAAAAAATTGTTGTTCCTCAGGTTTTTGAAGGGTTTTGGCTTTTGCTCCTTTTCGGCCTTCCGACGGCCCAAGACGGCCAAAGAGCTCATCAAGATCGCCCCAAGAGTGCCCAAGAAGCCTCCAAGATGGCCCGAGGACGATCCAAGACGCCCCTAAGATGGCCCAAAGAGGGCCCCAAGACGGCCCAAAGACGGCCCAAGGGGCCTCCAAGACGCCCAAGATGGCCTCCAAGACGGCGAAGATGGCCCCAAGAGAGCCCAAAGAGGCCCCCCAAAGACGGCCCAAGATGCACCCAAGACTGCCCAAGATGGCCTCAAGACGGCCCAAGACCTCCCCACGCGCCCCAACAGGCCGCCAAAATGTCTTGAGAGAGCCCGAAGAAGCCCCCACGGAGAGCCCCAAGAGGCGAACATCATCGATGGTCCTTGATTTGCCTCGAGTTTTGGAGGGTTTGGGGGTTTGCTCCTTTTCGGTCTTCCGACGGCTCAAGACGGCCCAAGAGGCCAGCAAGATCGCCCCAAGAGCGCCCAAGAAGCCTCCAAGACTACTCCAAGACGCCCCAAGATGCCCCCAAGACGGCCCAAGACGGCCTCTAAGATGGTCACGTTGGCCCACGATGGCCTCCAAGATGGCCCAAGATGGCCTCCTAGTCCGCCCTTGATGGTCCAAGATGTCCCCAAGACGGCCCAAGAGAGTCCAAGATGCCTTCAAGGTCGTCCAAGAAGCCTCCAAGACGGCCCAAGATGGCTCCAAAATTGCCCTAAGACTGCCCAAGAGAGCCCCAAGAGCCCTCCAAGAGCTCCACCAGGAGGACCCGAAAGGACAAAATTCATTGATTTGCCTTCGGTGCTTGAAGGATTTGGGCATTTTCGTCTTCTCATCTCTCCGACGGCCGAAGACAGCCCAAGAGGCCTCCAACATCGCCCCAAGAGCGCACAAGAGGCCTCCAAGATGGCCCCATGACGGGTGAAGAGACCCCAGATAGGGCCCCAACAAGAACCCAAGATGGCCCAAAAGGCCCCCAAGACGCCCAAGATGGCATACAAGACGGACAAGATGGCCTCCAAGATGCCTCCAAGACGGCCAAGAAGGCCTCCGAGACGGCGACGATGGTCCAAAGATGCACCCAAGACTGCCCCAAATGGTCTGAAGATAGCCTTAGACTGCCCGAAAGGCCCTCCAGAAGCCTCCAAGACGGCCCAAGAGCCCTCCAAGCCGTCCTCCAGGAAATCCGAAAGCTCGGAACCCACCTGGTCCGATAGCTCGCCCGACTCCGTGTTCCCCCAAAGCTTTCGAAACCCACTCGAGGAACGCGTGGCCCGATAGCTTGGCCAAGCTCAAACCCAACTTTCGGCCACGCAGGCGCTTCCAAAAAAGCCGGGGGCGGCGGTGATTCGCCGTAGGCGTCTTCGATACATACATTCATACAGATCGTAAGCAAAGGCACGCGTAGAATCGATTCCGGTGCGCGCTCTTTGGAGCGCGCAGCGTCAAGCAAGAGCTCCGATCGATAAATCCAACGCGCCAGGATCGACGCCCTGGCGAGCGACACCCGCCAGCGCACGTGATTGCAAGAGTTGATGTTTGATCGCGGTACTCTGTATCAGGTCCTCTCCAGACCTCTGCAATGGCACAAAGAAAGGACCAGCGGCAGGCCTTTGTCGTCAATCAGGAACTTGTTGAGCGTGCCTTCGTGGGCGTAGCACACTTTCTGCACCTCGGACATCAGCTCCTGCAAGCATGATTTTCTCTGGGGGGCTTCGCACCTCGCAGTGGGCAGCCGTTTTCTACAAGTTTATGAATAAATACACTAAAAACTATCGCGCGCGCTACGCACGCGCGCGCTCAGGTTCTAGCGCAGTCCGGGCCCACAAGAAGGGCGTGGACAGATCTGTCATGCACATGCGCGTGCAGTAGTCGCATTCCTCATGGCCATTATCATACCTAGCGCCGTCCTTATGTATTCAATCATGAGCAACGTCGCCATGCCAAGACTCATGTTATTGTTCATCAACGTCATTGGTAGCAGCCTTGACCTGGTGCTGCTAGTAGTGCATCGTAATCATCGTCAGCAACAGCAGCGGCATCGTCCTCCTTCGAATAACCATCCTCATTCTCAACTCATCATCCTCCAGATCATCATCAGCATCATCATCAGCAGCAGCAGCATCACAGTGGGACCCGCTACGCTTAGCGTGCACGTCGTCGCTGCAATCGTCTCATCGATCATCCTGATCATCGCGCGCGCTAAGGTTCTAGCGCAGGTCGGGTGCTTGCTGCAAGAGCGGTGTCGGCTTGAGCACGCACAAACGCGAATCATAGTCGCTTCCCGCATTACCTCATCAGCATCATCACCGTCGTCTCACCCGTCCTCCGTATCCTCGTTACTGTTTGGCACCATCCTGATGTTAACACGTACTTACTCATACTCGTCATGGCCATCGTAATTCTCGCAAGTCATCATCATCACTGCCATCCTGGCTGACATCATCGGTGCTCTGCTGTTGGTTATTCGGCGACGTCAAGGCCGTGCGTCGTCATGAACATATCCATCGTCCACACCCGAGTCATTATCTTCATTATCTTTCCCATCATCCTCATCACCGCCATCACGATGGAAAAGACTACGCCTATGGCCATCAATCTCGCCATCATCGCTGTCGTTGGCGAAATGTTCCCAACAGGCCTTTGGGATAATCTTGCCCTCGTGGGCCCTCTTGGCACTCCCCCGTACTCCTCATTCGCATTCGTACTCGGCATCATCCTGATAGTAATAACCATATTCGTCATGGAAAACACGATTGTCAAAAGTCATCATCATCACCACCACCATCATGAGTGGCAGCATCGGTGCTCTGCTGTTGGTAATGCGGCGACGTCAAACTCACGCGTCGTCATTATCACAATCATCGTCCGCACCCGAATGATTATCTCCATTAGCTGTCCCATCCTCGTCATCACCGCCATCACGATGGAGAACACCACGCGAACTTTTTGCGTTGTCACAGCCGTCGTCTCACCCATCACCACCTTCATCACCACCATGGTCATCAACTTCGCTCTCATCGCCGTCGTCGGCGAGATGTTCCAGGAGAAGCATCCGGGGACATCTTGCCTTCGTGGGGTCCTCTCCATCAGCTTTGGGTGGTCCTGGGGTATCTTGGGGCTCTCCTGGGCCGTGGTGGCCGTGGTGTAGGCCTCGGTAGGGCTCCTGGGTTGTTTTGACTCGCTCAGGTTCCAGCGCAGTCCGGGAGGCCACCGGAAGAGATTGGATAGATCTATCATGCACAAGCGCCAGCCATAGTCGCATTCATCCTCATGGTCACTATCATGCCTAGCTTCGTCCTCATCCTCATCTTTTCTCATCGTGAGCAACGTCGTCATGCCAAGACTCATTGGTAACATCCTTGGCCTGGTGTTATCGTAATCATCGTCAGCATCAGCAGCAGCATCGCCCTCATTATAATCATCACCTTCATTCTCAATTCATCTGGACCATCATCATCATCATCACGATGGGACCCGCTGCGCTTAGCGCCGAAGTCGTCGCAGCCATCGTCGCATCCATCATCCTCAGCATCGCGCGCGTTCCTGTTCTCGCGCGGGCTGGTTGGTTGCTGCAAGATCTGCCGGCTCGAATACGCACAAGCGCGAGCCATTGTCGCTTCCATCATTGACCCATCAGCATCATTACCGTCGTGTCCCCCGTCTTCCACATCATCCTTATCCCCCACAACGACAGTGGGGTTCTTGTTATCTCTGCACACCCTCGGCGCAGGATCTCCTCTTACACCTCCTCCTATTCCTCCTCCTACTCCTCCTCCTCACTTCTCTCCTCATCATTCACACACTCACACAACCACACACTCATCATCATCATCATCATCATCATCATCATCATCATCATCATCATCATCATCATCATCATCATCATCATCATCATCATCATCATCCTCCTCATCATCATCATCATCATTATCATCATCATCAGCAGCATCATCATCATCAGCAGCAGCATCATCATCATCATCAACATCATCATCAACATCATCATCATCAGCAGCAGCAGCAGCAACAGCATCATCATAATCATCAGCAGCAGCAGCATCCTCAACATCATCATCATCATCATCAGCATCATCAGCATCGTCATCATCATCAGTAGCATCATCAGCAGCATCATCAGAATCAGCATTATCGTCGGCATCGTCATCATAAGTATCATCATCACAATCAGCATCATCAGCATCAGCAGCATCATCAGCATCATTAGCATCGTTCCCTACATGGACACTCCGCGCAGAAACACACCCACCCAGACGCGCACACCTCATCATCACCATCAGCATCGTCGTCAGCATCATGCACCCACTGACACCCACACACTCACTCATTACCACCATCCATCATCAGTATCATCATCAGCATCATCATCAGCAGCAGCATCAGCATCAGCATCAGCATCATCATCAGCATCAGCAGCATCATCCTCATCATCATCGTCATCAGCATCGTCAGCATCATCATCGGCATCATCGTGATTAGCATTACCAGTATCATCATCAACAACAACACTCATCACCACAATACAAACGCACACACTCACGCACTCACCCGTAAGGGAAGTCTCGAGCGGAAGCCCCTCCCTATCGTGCCCCCACTTCATGTTAGTAATCCGAGCGGGTCATCGGAAAACTCCACCGGGCAGAGCACTTGAGCACCCCAAGGGGGCAAATGGTCAGAATGTGTCGACGGGGCGACGCCCGCTCCCGAGGAGACAGGCTGCTCTCCTCCTCCTCCTCCTCCTCCTCCTCCTCCTCCTCCTCCTCCTCCTCCTCATCCTGCTCCTGCTCCTCCTCCGCCACCTCCTCCTCCTCCTCCTCCTCCTCCTCCTCCTCCTCCTCCTCTCCTCCTCCTCCTCCTCCTCCTCCTCCTCCCCCTCCCCTCCCCCTCCCCATCCCCTTCCCCTCCCCTCCCCCAACCCCCCAATCCCCCTCCCTCCTCCTCCTCCTCCTCCTCCTCCTCCTCCTCCTCCTCCCTCCTCCTCCTCCTCCCTCCTCCTCCTCCTCCTCCTCCTCCTTCTCCTCCTCCTCCTCCTCCTCCTCCTCCTCCTCCTCCTCCTCCTCCTCCTCCTCCTCCTCCTCCTCCTCCTCCTCCTCCTCCTCCTCCTCCTCTCCTCCTCCTCCTCCTCCTCCTCCTCCTCCTCCTCCTCCTCCTCCGCCTCCTCCTCCTCCTCCTCCTCCTCCTCCTCCTCCTCCTCCCCTCCTCCTCCTCCTCCTCCTCCTCCTCCTCCTCCCACTCCCCCACCCCCTCCCCCTCCCCCTTCCATCCCCTCCCCCGCCCCCCAATCCCCCTCCTCCTCCTCCTACTCCGCCTGCTCCTCATCCTCCTCCTCCTCCTCCTCCTCCTCCTCCTCCGCCGCCTCCTCCTCCTCCTCCTCCTACTCCTCCTCCCTCCTCCTCCTCCTCCTTCGTCTCCTCCTCCCTCCACCACGAGCCCATGTCGCGAGCCTTTGGCGGGGTAATCATCTCGTCGTTATCGTTGTCATGGTCGTCGCCGCAGTCCTTCTGGATCGGCGGCACCAGCCGTAAGGCTTCCATAATAGCACGAAAACAAAACACTGGTAACAACAGACAAACCAACAAATTACCCCAGTGCGACCCTACCTAGAAGTTGAAGCCCCTAGGAAAGCAGCATGAGTTGATATGCTATGATATGATATGCTATGCTATGCCATGATATGCTGCGCTATGCTGCGCTATGCTATGTTATGCTGCGCTATGATATGCTATGCTATGCTATGTTATGATAAGCTATGCTATGTCATGCTGCGCTGTGCTATGCTAAGCTATGGTATGATATGCTGTGTCATGCTATGCTAAGCTGCGCTATGCTATGATTTGTTATGCTATGCTGCGCTATGCTATGCTATGATATGCTTGGCTATGGTATGCTATGATATGCTATGCTAATGCAGCGCTGCGCTATGCTAAGCTAAGCTAAGCTAAGCTAAGCTAAGCTAAGCTAAGCTAACCCTCTAGGCAGAGCCTAGGTAGGGAAGTACACCCATGCGAATGCTACGCTATGCTATGCTATGCTGTGCTCTGCTATGTTAAAGCTCAGCGGGGCTATGATGAAGGTAAGCTAAGCTAAGATAAACCTGAACTAAGATGAAGCTAAGCTAAGCTAAGATGAAATAAGCTAAGCTATGATGAGATAAGCAACGCTAAGCTAAGGGGACGTAACTGGGTGGAACCGCGGGGCGGATACTGGGGGAACCGCCCGGGGCGCTTTCCACTGCCCGGCCCCTTTAAGCCAAGAGAGTAAGAACTCTTCTAGGCAGAGCCTAGGTAGGGAACCAAAGCAACATAAGAACGGCATAGAAACATACATATATAGAGAGAGACAGGCAGACAGACAGACAATCAGGCGGAAAGACAGGCAGACAGAGGGTGAGAGAGGGAGGGAAAGAGGGAACTGAGATTGTGTACAAAGGATAGAGAAAGGAAAAGAGAGAGAGAGAGAACAGAGATATGGAGACACGCAGAGAGAGAGAGAGAGCGAAGAAAGAGAGAGAGAGGGAGAGCGATAGAGAGAGGGAGAAAGCACGAGAGAGAGAGAGACGAGAGAGAGAGAGAGACAGATGGAGAGAGTTAGTGCGTAAGAGGTAGAGAGATATAGAAACATGAATGTCAAAGAAAGGGATAGGGAGAAAAAAAAATGTGTATATATATATATATATACATGAACACAGAAAAGAACCTAGAAATATATTTATATATAGCGGAAATAAAACATATAACAACAAACAATCAGCAAAGAGGACTGCGGATTTGAAGAATAACACAAGCGGCACAAAAAATAGGAAAGACAAAGCAGAAGAGAAGAGGGAGGAGGGAGCCGCAGCAGCAGCTGCAGGAGCTGCAGCAGCAGGAGGGAAAAGGGAACTGCGAGGCGAGCAGGAGGGCACGACACGAAGGCGGAGATCCGCCCGCTAGTGAGAGGGAGAGGCAGACGCAGAGGCGAAGGGAGGTGAGAGGGGGGTAATGACTACCTACTGGACCACCCCAACCTATCCCGAAGACCCAAATTTCGGGTGGGGGGGGTACGGGCTCCACGCGTGTTTTTTGTTCAATGTTCCCCGACCCCCCCCCCACCACCACACTGGAAATCGAGGGTAGATTAAGACCTTCGGGTTGGGGTGGGGTGGTTTGGTGGGTAGTGAGGTAAGAGGAAGGGGCACAGAGGAATGCAGGGGGCGAGGGGAAGCCTCAGGGGGAGACCTTCCCAGGCGGGGAACCATCGACCTGGAATCCGCGATGCGTCGCCGAGAGATCGGCGATTGGCCCCCCATACTCAATCCATCCGGACGGTCCTGAGCGGGGTGGGCTCTCGGATCCCATATCGGCGATCGATGGGCGAAGGCACCCCCCTGGAGCCTGTCCCCCCCGACGCTGAGCCTGAAGGGCAGAGGGAGCACGGAAGCAAGCAACAAAAACAGAAGACAGCAATACAACATCTTCCCGAATCTCATGTTGCTCCCATCGTACTTAAGGACCACATCCCAGAAATCAGTTCGAGCACCCAGAAAAGTGTCGAAAGAGTGTCGAAACAGCGTCGAAACAGCGTCTCCCAGGGCCCGACACGTGAAAACCCTAGAGTTTGGGGTGCTTTTTTGGCGCTCGAAATTCTTTCTGGCGATCAAGGCTAAAGTAGGTTGGAACATCGTAACCCGAATTCCTGGGCCTGCTTCGGGCCGTTGGGCGACGAGACGTCCAGCCCGGAGCCGCTGATGAAGACCACGGAGACGTTCCTCCGGGCGAGGCGGCGTGAGGGGGCGGCACGGCTCCCCATCGCCCCCCATCCCCGCCTCGGCACCTCCCGCCGGCCCTCTCCCCTTGCGAAGCCCGCCAGCCCTTCATGGGACGCACAAAGTCATACTAGTACAATGTGTTTTCCTCGGAGGCGCGCGTCCGCCCCGAACATATAGTAGGCCCATCTTGTAGTACATCGTTTCCCGAGCGGCGTGGCCAGAAAGCACCCGCCACGACGCATATACTATAAGATTTCTCGGTGCGCGCGTCGTCCCTGGGGGGGGACGACGCACATATAGTAGAAGTATGTTGGGGTGACGCCGACTTCAGGGCGTGGGTGATTTAGAGCGGTTCCTCTTCCAACCCCTTCTTCCCCTTCGGGGAGGGGCTTGCCCCTTTCCCATAGTATACGCCCTTCCCCATGGGTCTGGAGGGCATCTCCTCTTCCTCCTCCTCCTCCTCCCCCCGTCCTCCCCCTCCTCCTTCCCCTCATCCTCCCCCTCCTCCTCCCCCTCCTCCCCCTCCCCCTCCGTCCCGGCACCCGCTGATCTGCGCAGCGGGTGTCCACCGGGACAAGGCGTGTGAGGGAAGTCCGAGCTCGTGAGGCGCTGAATCACACCGTGGGGAACCCCTCCCGGCACGTCTATCGGCACCTGGGCGGAAGGCCGACGACCGCCTGGGGCCCGCGACGGGGCCCCCCCCCCACAAAAAGTCAAAAGCTAGCGAACTCCAGTCGGAAAGAAAAACGAGGCTGCAGGGGCGGCCGGGCAGAGGAAAGGGAGAGAAGCACGGGTGCGGGGGGCGGGTCGTCGCAAGGCGTCGGTGCGGAGCGCCGCGCGTCGCCCGCGGCGGGGGCGCAAGGGCTGAGACAAGGGCGTCGAGGAGTGGCGGCGGCGAGGGGGGGGGCCGGGAACGGGGCGCTGGTGGGCGTGGGGGGGCGGTGAAGGGGGCGCTGGTGGTCTTTGCCGTCGCTACAGCTGGTCGTTATCGTGGTGCTCGGCTGGTCGTGCGTGTGGTCGTGGCGTGGCGTGGGCGGTTCGCCTCGGCGGCGGCGCGCTCCGTGGCCGCAAGGCCCCTCGCCGGCCCAGCGCGCGCAGCAGCAACTCCGCATGTCCTGTCGGGAGATGCGTGCTGAGCTGCTGCCACGCGAACTGAGTGGCCTCCGTCTGGCGGCCCGGGGCCGCGTCGTGCGCCCATGACCGCAAGTAGGTCACCGTCTCTTCGCCTGGCCGCCCCCCAGCCTCGAAGATGAGAGGGACCAACTCCCCTCCGTGCGGCGGATACCGCAGGTGCTCTGCGTCCGCAGCGCTCTGGGCCGCGAGCCCATCTCGGCCAGCACGGGCCTGCTGGCGCGACTGGTCGTCGCTGTGTACGCAGGTCGCTCCAGCGTCCAAGAAAACAGGCTGTCCCGTAATGGCGTCTCGGATTGCCACATCCAGCCTCGCCTCCTCCAAGACCCCTTTCCCCCCCCCTCCCCACCTCCCCCCCCCCCTCCCCCCCTTCTCATCCCACCTGGACTGGCTGCAGGCCACGCCCGCGGGCGGGCGCGGGTGCGAGGTCCTGGTGGAAACGGCTTCTGGGCCCCAGGGCGTTTTCCCGAGACCAGCTCTTCATCCTGAGCCGTTTTTGGACCGCCCCCGGGAGCCCTGGGGAGAGGCTCGCGAGGAGCCCCCATGTAGCCCGAGAACGCTCCACCCTCTCCCTCCCCCCTCCGCCTCGCGCACCCTCATCCAAGGTGTATGGAAGCGTCGCCACCCTCCCAACATTGAAGGTTCCATCGAGCCTCATCTCGTTCACGTACGGCAGCGTGCCGCACTCGATCTGCTTGAAGACCGACGACGGGATGTAGCGGCGAATGATGTTCAGCTGCTCCAGCCCGAAGGTCTGAGTGAGGGCGGTGGCGAGCACGAGCAGGGGCGGAGGGAGAAAGAGAAAAAGAAAAGAAGGAGGAGGAGGAGGAAGAGGAGGAGGACGAGGAGGAAAAGAAGGAGTAGGATGAGGGGGAGGAGCAGCAGCAGCAGCAGAAGGAAGCAGCAGCAGCAGCAGCAGCAGCAACAGCAGAAGGAAGCACCAGCAGCAGCAGCAGAGGGAGGAGCCGGGAGGATGAGGCAGGAGGAGCACAGAGGAGGAAAGGACGACGGCAAAGCCAACGACGGCGCCGATGCTGGGTACGACGATGACGGTGATGATGCCCATGCGTCGATGATGAAGGTGCTTGTGATGATGATGGCGGCAATGGCGGCGATTGACGATGACGAAAACGGCGGTGATGCGATGGCACTGAAGAGGGCGATGAAGAAGTGCACTCGAGTGCAGAAATTCAAGACATCTGGCGATCTAGCTGTTGATTCACACTTGGTCGTTCATCAGAATAAGTGGGCTGAACGGTCATTTAAGTTCCGCGGTGCGAATTGTTGTTGCGTTGTTGTTGGTGTTGTTGGTCTTGTTGTTATTGTTATGTTGTTGTTACGTCGTTGTTGCGTTATTGTTGTTGTCGTCGTCCTCGCCCGCGACCCTCCCGCGACCCACCCTGCGACCCCCACCCCGCGACCCACCCCGCGACCCACCCGCGACCCACCCGCGACCCACCCTCGACCCACCCGCAGCCCACCAGCGACCCACCCCCTTCACTTTGACGAGAATATTGGCGCCTACGGCGGGTTCGTGGCATAAATTGCCAAAACCGGCGAATGCGGCTGGCTTCTCCAGAGCCTCGCAGACTGACGACGACCTGCCACCCCCTCACTCGTATCCGCAACTGCGGGGTGCTACGCATGTTGCTAGAGAGCTCTATCTTGGAATGGCTCGGAAACAAATGTCTTTGGAGGGATTACGACACGCGCGCATGGAGGCGCGCGCATGAGGCGCGCGCATGTAGCCTGCACTGTGTTGATTGATACGGGTTCGTCGACCGGGGCGCATGCTAGACCAGCGCGGCTGCATCGCGCGGGGAATTTGTGCGTGTGGCTTCTGGACGAGACCTCGAAAGTCGTGCATGTGTTCTTCTGGTTTCAGCAAGTGCGCGCGGGCAAGATTCGATCGAACAGCTGACGTGTTGAATGCTATACTGGAACACGTTCAGAACGAATGCGTCCGATGAAAGTTCGACGTGTGCGGGCGCGTCGACCTCGTGGTTTGCTTCGCAGGGGAATAGCGCAGCATGGTCTTTTGAGGAAAGAAACTGCGCGCGCACTGTCTTGCTTGACAGAGATGAGGGTGGGGGGAGCGATACTGTATTGGCTGGGATGGTAGAAGTCCCCCTGGAAAACGAACGATGGCGCAGAACCATACGCAAATTGCCTTGCTTGACAGAGATGAGGGTACTGTATTGGCTGGGATGGTAGAAGTCCACCTGGAAAACGAACGATGGCGCATGACCATACGCAAACTGCATCACGAAAAGGGGAACGGATAACCGCGGGCGCGGGGGGGGGATGGCACAGCTCATTTTCTACAACAGAAAATGCAGAACCTGAAGTCGGCAACTCCACTGCTCGCGCAAACATCCCTCCCTCCCACGCGTAACTTATTTCGCGAAACCCATTCGGCCACGGATTGGGGTGCGGTAGCACATCTCCGCGGCCGCGCTGGTGCGTGCGCACTCGCGCGCAGGGCGAACAGCTGGGTTCGCACACCTAATGGGCTCGCGATGGCGCTCATCGATGAGAATTTCCCGACGCGGCCCTAAGGCCGCACTGGCACTCGGGTACTTCAGTGCGGGCCAGTGGTTCGGATGGGCGCGATATCATGATGAGTTCGACATCGGCGGCAACGATGATGCAAATGGCGATGATGACAGCGATGATGATGATGATGATAATAATAATGTTGATGATGGTGTTGCTGATGGTGATGGCGATGATGATGCTGGTGGTGATGATGATGGTGTTGATGATGGTGATGGCGATGATGATGATGATGATGATGATGATGATGATGATGATGATGATGATGATGATGATGATGATGATGATGATGATGATGATGGTGATGGTGATGGTGATGGTGATGGTGATGGTGATGGTGATGGTGATGATGATGGTGATGGTGATGGTGGTGATGATGACGATGACGGTGGTGGTGATGTTGATGATGGTGATGATGATGGTGACGATGGTTATGATGGTTATGGTGATGCGAATGATGAAACTGACGATGATAGTGATGATGATGATGATGATGATGATGTTGACTGCAAGGCCAACGACGGCACCGATGATGGTGACGACGATAACGGTGATGATGTCCATGTGTCGGTGATGAAGGTGACTGTGAAGATGATGGCGGCAATGGGTCGATTGGAGATGACGCAAACGGAGGTGATGCGATGGCGCTGATGAGGGTGATGAAGAGGTGCACGCGCGTGCAGAAATTCAAATGATCTGGCAAGCTTGCTGTTAAAAAAACACTCGGTCGATCGTACGTTGTGAAGCAGCTCTGTCCTGGAAAGCGCCAAAAACCCATGATGGCGTTGCCCGGATCTGACACGCGCGCGCGGCGGCGCGTGCACGTGGCCCGCATGGTGCTATTTGATTAGGATCCGTGTACTGGGCGCATGCTAGATCAACGCGGATGCACCGCGCGGTGAGATGAGAATGCGGTTTCTGGACGAGACCCCGTAAGTTCTATGTTCTCCTCTGATTTCAGAAAGTGCGCGCGGGCAGACAATCTGCAATATTTGCGTCGGGGAACAATGTGTTCTTTAGTTGTGTTGCTGAAACGCTGCAGAGCGAATGTGTTCGATATGATTTCGCGATGCACGCGCAGGCGCGTAGACTATGGTGTATTTCTTGCAAGGAACGTTCGAAAATGATTTTCTGAGATGAATTAAGGCGCGCGCGGTTCAAGGGTCGAATCCCCACCCCGCGTTTTTAAGGATTCTGTGTTGTGGGAGGCGGAGCGCGTCGTTAGCTTGCTGCTGGTTTCGGCGCGGTATGCCCGCTGTGCTTTTGCTCGGCGCATCCTCCCCTCTCCTCTCTCTCTCTCTCTCTCTCTCTCGTTCTGTTATGTTTCTGTTTGCAGAAGTCCCATGCGTCTCGCACAACTCTCTGCCCGCCACCTGACTTCAGCATCCACTATCTTGGAGAAAAACACATCGAGACACCATTATGCCGCGAGTGCTTCGGCGACAAAAGCAGACGTGAGCGTACCAAGCAGCATGCCACCTCGGAGCAACAGGTCGCGCTCCCCAGAAGCATAATATGCAAGCATTGCGACCTCGGCGGCTGCTGCTCTCTCTCTCTCTCTCGTTTTTTATATGTTTTCTCTCTTTCTCTCTCTCTCTCTCTCTCTCTCTCTCCCTCTCTCTTTCCACCGTCCTCAGCCGAATCAACCGCCTAAGCCTAGCCGAAGCCTCAGCCCCACCTAGCTTAAGCCCCAGCCAGAATTTAGCCGAAACCTAGCCTAAGCCTCAGCCTCAGCCTCAGCCTCAGCCTAGCCTCAGCCTCTGCCTCTGCCCAGCCTCAGCCTCTGTCTCAGCCTGGCCTAAGCCTGGCCTCAGCCTCAGCCTCACCTTCAGCCTAAGCATTGCCTGAACCTGGCCTGAACCTCAGCCTACGCCTGAGCACCGCCGCCTAGCCTAAGCATCAGCCTCAACCAGCCTAGCCGAATCCCATCCGAAGCCTCAGCCTCGCCTAAGCCTGAGCCTAGCCGAATCCCATCCTAAGCCTCAACCTCGCCTAAGCCTCGGCCTCAGTCTAAGCCTCAGCCTAACATGAGGTTCAGCCTCAGCCTTGGCCTCTGCCTAAGCCTAGCCTCAGCCTCAGCCCGAACCTAGCCAGCGCCTCAACCCCATTATTGCTACTACCACATTACTACAAATAAACTAGTATCATACTATGACCCCCCCCCACAACATTATTACGACTACAACAGTACGACCGTACCATAATGCTGCTACACTACTGAAGTGTTGCAATATTGCACTGCTCATCAAGTCACCACTAAAGTGTTACCGCCAATGCTGCACCAGAGTAGTACGTCGATTCCAATAGAATGGTACAAAAACCATACTACTACGGCAATACAGTACCAGGGTACCGCTACCCTGCTTGAGCACTCCGATGTTCGAGCTCCACCACTACTACGACTATTACAGCGCCATCGCTACAGCACTACAGTACTATAATGTTACAGCCGTGCTGCGATAACACGGCATTTGGCAATCCCTACTACAGCACTGTAATGGAGCCAGGCAAGCCTAAGCATAGCCTAAGCCTGGCCCAAGCCTAAGCCTCAGCCTAGCCTGCACCTCAGCCTGGCCTGGGCCTCGCCCAAACCTCAGCCTGAGCTTCGGCGGAAGCCTCAGCCTAAGCCAATCCCAAGCCTAGCCTAAGCCTTAGCCTAGCTTCAGCCTGAGCCTCAGCCTCAGCCTAAGATAAGCACCAGCCTCAGCCTGAGCCTTGGCCTGGGCCTAACCCCAGCCAAAGCCTAGCCTGGGCTTCATACCTTCAATTATTATTACAATACTATGGTATTACTACCACCTCATTACTACAACATTTTTACTATCACGATATTCGGTTGCGACTACTCCTACAACGCAATTGCTAGTACAACCGCTCGACCACATTACAGCGATGCTAGACGATTAAAGTGTTACAAGACCGTGTTGTTCCCACAGCCACCACTACGTTGTTATTACCACTACTACTGAATCAGAGCACTACTACGACTTCACTAGAATGCGATTAATACAATACGACTGCGGCACGACGCTGCTAGGGCACGGCGGCCGTGCTTGAGCACTCCAGCGCTAAAGCTCCATTACGACGACTGCCAGCATGAAACAAATACCAGTGCAGTGCTAACCGATCACTTATACTTATGCCATAGCACTGCTGCAGCGTTGCATTACGACTATGGCAGCGTCCACTACTACTTTT